AGTGAGTATCTCACTCTCAATCAAAATAACTGAAAATGTAGACATTAATTGAATGCACAGCTACTTATTCTAAATGTGGGTATTATTGCATATTGTATATTGTAATATTTCATATGAAATTCATACATTATTAAGATTTATCTATCATAATATTGCATATGTATGTATGTATGTATGTATAAAGTTTGATTTGTATAACATTTGTTGCTTGCATCTTGGAAAAAAAGATGTTAAAAGATTCACCTTACTGAAGGCCAGTTGTCTGACATATAAACTTTCCTGCACCATAAATGACTATATCATGTTTCAATGATTTTCTGACAAGCATTTTAGTAAAAGTATGGATCTGCCAGCAGAAATTGGATATAGGGCACCAATATCTTTATATTTTTCTAAGGGCAAAGAGATGTTCTTGTGTTGAGTCTGGGTAACGTGCTTACTCACATGAGATCAACAATGGATTTGGATTATCTGTACATATCTGTACATTTGGATTATCTGTTATACTTATCATGGATATTATAATATACGGCCTGACCGCCCCATCAGGAAGTGAGGTTTAAATATATATACTATGATATGTCTCAGCCTGAAGCAATGTGTGTGAATCTACAGGCACAACCTACATGACTACATCCACCAGATGGCAGCAAATTCTATAAGAAACAGTGGATACACTGGTACACAACAAAATAACAGACACACAACTAAATACAGACCAAGTAGTATATACACATTTCAATAAGCATTTCACCACAAAAAAAAAAAGAAGCATTTTTTTTAGGGTTTAAAAGACATACAAATGTACAGGACACTTCCTAGCTCTCAAACTTAAGCCCTATTCGGACGGGACTAGTTTTCCAAATGACGTTTCAGTTACAATTCTTATCAGCCGACGTCTGTGATTTGTGATGGGACTAACATCGTGTTTATTACCGAGGTAGGCGTGTCTGTGTTTTACAAGTGGGCGTTGCAGAAGATCACGTGTTCAGGATGTAAACATTTTATAACAATCTTAATTTTCAAAAAACTAAACATAAATTTAACATGATTTTATAGAACTGGGTTCTTACGTTTTAGCTTATATAATTTACACGTCATGTAATTGAGTGCAGAAATGAATGTAATCTTACCTGAAACTGATATGACAGTTAGCCAGTCTTAACAGTTTACGTGATTTGGCTCTTCTTGTTGATTTCTTTTTTTTTTTTCTTCGCAGTGTACCAAACACATCTACATTCAATATTGGTGCGCAGAAAGCAGAAACTTGAATACCTAGCGAGAGATTGTACAGTAGTTCACGTTGACCAAGGCTTGCAACTAACAAGACCCTCTGGAGAACTTCTTGAACCCTTGAAAGGTGCCTAGAATGCCCTAAAGAGTAAATATGAAGTGTCTCAAAATCTGGAATACTTGCACATGCTGCACTGTATTGTATTATCATACTACTCATCTGGGTAGGCCTACATTAACTGCTAACCAACGATACTTTCAAGTATCTTCACACACCTCGTACTGGCTTTTTTAGTTATCGATTGCAGTGAAATCTAAATTAAAAACTTCACAGGACAATAAGCCTAGCCAGAAAATTTGAAAATTATTTTCGATTTTAAAATGTCCTTTAGGGGGCGCCAGTAGCAATTACTGTAATATTGCTGCAGTGTTTTTTTTGTTGCTAGTAGGCCGATTGTTTTGTACAATATTATCTTGGCGGGTGCGCAGTGTCAAGTATCCGACAAATTTCATTTGTATATTTTGTATTACTTACAACAGTTCTTGAAAATGAAATAATATCGAGTAACTTACATTTCAGACAAAAAAGGCCAGTTTATTCGCGAAGCTGACTTTGCTGGGCGGCAAACACCGAACAGAATAAAAGCCAGTCTGGATCTCCATTAGTGGAGTAGAGCGACATAACTTTTCGTTTCCCGCTCAAAGCCTCCTCTAGTCAATCAGCTTCAGATCCACTCCTGGTTTTCCATTTTCTGTTTCATGCGCACTAGACAGTGAGTGAAACACCGCACTGAGCGATCGTGAACCGGTAGACATTGCACAGCTCTTCTTTCCATCGCCAAAGAAAATACAGATGCTTGGACTTTCAAAAAACTGTTACAGGTGAACTCAGTGGCGGTTTAGCACCCATTAAAGGGGTGGCTCACTGTTTTTTTTTCTAGGCTTGATTGTGTTTATGGGGTGCAGTCTAACATGTGTTAATGCTTCGTTTTTTTAAAAAACGCATTATTTTTCACATAATTGACTTTCATTCCACACTGCTCTGTCCCTTCTCTGAGAAACGCGCTGATCATTTCCTGCTTTTTATGAAGCCCCGCCCTCAGAAATAGGCGGCTCTGATTGGTTAGCTAGCCCAGTGTGTTGTGATTGGCTAAACCGCCTCTAGTGCGTGTCTAAACGTCCCGCCCCTCACCTCAGAGGCATGTGCTCCAGTTGTATTGTAAACAACGGCATGGTTAATATCGCTTATCAGTTTGAGCCCGAACGGTTTTATCCTGATTAAAGCTTTAATACAGTGCGGCAATATGTTTAACGCTTCTCATAGCTATGTGAAAATAAGCGTTTAATTGGAACAGTTCATTGTTGGAGCTGAGCTGAATGAGAGAGAGAGATGCAGAGCGTGTGCAGAGCAGGGAACGTGAGGAACAGTATTGAGAACCGCTGCTTTAGAACATTGATTTTGAAACTTGTGAATCCAATATAATCGTTAGAAGACAGAATCGCGATTCATATATGAATAGATTTTTACATGCACCCCTAGTTTTCTTCCTCTTTTCTAAAGCGGTGCAGCATGGCCTCGCCCCCTTTGCTGCCTATTCCCGAGGGCGGGGTTTATCTGGGTTTGTTAAGTCACGAACCCGGGAAGTAACTTGTTGTAGTCCCTACCAGCCGTTTTTGTAGGCATTAAACTGCCAGAATTTTAAAGGGGTCCTATTATGCTTTTTCACTTTTTCAACTTTAGTTAGTCTGTAATGTTGCTGTTTGAGCA